GATAAAAAGTTTTTCCAAATCCGAAATATCGCCTTGGGAATTGGATCATCCCAGTCTATTTTGAGAAGCCACAGTTTCTGAAGGAGAGTTTTAACCTGAACCTCCATTAGATCGAGGAGACCCAAAGGGTCGAAGATTTGCGAAATTAATGACATCAGTATTGTTCTTTTGGTAACTGGTTTAGAGTGATTGGATTCAATGGCTGAAGTATATACAAACAAATATTGGTTAGAGTTCCAAAAAATTCCCAATGCCTTTGTGCTCTGAGTGTCATTAAGGATAAAGTGAGTGTCACTTGAAGCTTCAGAAGTTAAATCTGATAATACTTCGGGTTTTTAGGTCTGTTCGTACAGAAATCACAAACCAGTCAGTGAATTTCATTGGTTGAAACTAGTTTTGTGACTGTTTTTGACTGTTTTCAAATAATGAAATTCGCTCTGATTGGTTTGTGATTGCTGTGCGAACAGGCCTAATATTTCAACAGAAGCCGTGTTCGTTTTTGTCATCTCGTCGATTTGCTCCTTATTTGCTCCGAAATTTTGACAGGCACGTGATTTGTAAATTGAAATTGACTGATCCAGCCACATGACTTGAAAAAGATGACAATGTCATCGAAACGTCACATTTAGAAATAAAAGGTCGTAACTATAGATTGTGTTCTTGCTCCCCACCTAAAGATTTTTTTGGTTTTCTTCCTTTTAGTTTTAGAGAATCCTATTTATTTTGTTCTTGTTCTCCTTGTTCAATAATTACATTTTTAGGCGACTGTCACAAGAATATTGGTTTTACGGATTCAATATCATCCCTAAAGTATATCTTTTTTAGGCGACTGTCACAAAAAGATTAGTTTTACGGATTCAATATCATCCCTAAAGTATATCTTTTTTGGCCGCATTTACCTTACGGCCGCATTCACTTCACGGCCGCATTTGCTTTATTACTTTACGGCCGCTTTTACTTCACGGCTGCTTTTACTTCACGGCCGCTTTTACTTTACGGCCGCTACTTTGGTGAAAATAAACAATTTTTTCTATAATCACACTCTCTTTACCGTAGTTTTTGTTATTAATAATTGTGTATCTACCTATCTTTGCTGGATTATTTATTTGATCAATAAAGTTTAAAGCTACTGTTGAATTTTTTCATTATTTTTTCAAGAACAAACACTCGCCTAAAAAATTTTGTGTGCACCTGGGCCGAATGATCTTTTTTGGCCTCACCTGAAATTTGCTTGACCTCGGCTGCGCCTCGGCCGCAAATTTCTGATTCGGCCAAAAAAGATCAACTTTACGGCCTTGGTACACAAATAACTATTTTGGCCGCATTTACTTTACGGCCGCATTTACTTCACGGCCGCATTTACTTCACGGCCGCATTTACTTCACGGCCGCATTTGCTTTATTACTTTACGGCCGCTTTTACTTCACGGCCGCTTTTACTTTACGGCCGCTACTTTGGTGAAAATAAACAGACAATAGAAATCGCGGTGCCGTAACCATCAACACAACCAATAAACAATTAGTTGGCAACCACAATGAAACCAAATTTTTAATTTTAGCTCTATCCAAATTTCCACATTAAATGCTAAAGAAAACGGCTTAAGATTAAAAATTTGAGAGAAGAAGTATTTTATTGCATTTTTTTCAGGAAATGCCAAAATTAAAAAATTCTCTAACGTTATGGTTCACAGATCCACCTATGTATACTTTATGTCAAAATTTACAATTATAGTCAAAAATAACATATCAGCAAGTTTTCAAAATTGATTGCTTTTCTAAAAAAGCCCAATGTAGGATACCAGGCGAAAAAGTCGGCAATTTTCTATAATCACACTTTCTCTATCGTACTTTTTGCTACTAATAATTATGTATCTACCTCGGCTGCGCCTCGGCCGCAAATTTCTGATTCAGCCAAAAAAGAGCAACTTTACGGCTTGTTGTAACGTTCTTTACATATTATCTGTATTGTATATTCTTCGGTGTTTTCATGGGCTTTTTCGGCATTTCAGTTAAATTTTATATTAGGTTAGTAGTTTAAATAATAAAAATAAACAGTATTCCCTAATTTTGTTTGGACCTAGCTCAGCCCTAGCTCAATTTTCGCGGGGGGCCCATAATTTGTCGCTACGCCACTGGAATAGGATCGAAGTGATTTGGATTTGAACTTTCGAAGATCAGGTTATCATCGATTACATAAGGACGTAGGACTGAAGAGTAAGTTTTGAGGATTGGCATTTTTGCTCAGAGTTGAGCTTCTAGGATTAGAAATCCTTGTGTGATTTGAATTGGTGTCTCGGCTGGGTTGCGATTGATCTCGTTGCAAAGATTAAAATTGAAATTTGGAGTATGGTTGACTTCATTATGTAAAAGAATGAGATGTTTACCTTGACATTTTTTACAACTATAAATTTTATTGAACGGCATTCTCCATTCCGGTGTCCTGACCGCAAGCAGTTGGTGGATAAATTTGCCTTTTTTGCCTCAAAAAACTTACCTACTTGCTATTGGCAAATCTAGGAACTTTCCACAAGAATAAACAAAATGATCTTTGCATAAAGGACAAGACGAATTGGAATTTTGAGAAATCAAGGCTTTGCGTTCCAAAGGTTTTTTTTTCAAATTTAATAAACGATTTTTTAGTGTTCAATTGAAAATCTAGAGATTCTAGAAAACGACAACGCTGGGATAAAAAATTTAAAAGGTCTTGTGTTCTTGGTTTCTCAATATCTTTAGTAAAGGTTTCCCATTCCTTACGAGTTTAAAATCTAATTTGGAACTTAAAATGTGAATAATAAGTGTGCACCACTGATCTACAGGCTCATTGAGATTTTGCAGTGAGTTAAAATTGTTTTGAAATGCATCTAAAAGTTTTCCTAAATGTAAGACTCGTCCTTTACAGTGGGTAAATCAAAATAGCTATTTATACAATAAGTTACGAAATGAGCGTCTTTTAGGCACGCGACGTGAAAATTGTCCAACGAGGCAAAGCCGAGTTGGACAACACGTCGAGTGACTAAAAGACATCGTTTCGTAACGTATTGTATACAAGATTTTTTCTACTGGCATTTTATAATAAAAAAACACAATTTTATTTCATGTGAATAAGTCGATTACACCCAAAATCTTTGTTACCTGCTTTTACTTGACACCTGACACTTTTCATGCGATTTTCTTTTCAAAATTCGACATCAATAATTAAAATCCTAGAAAGTAGGTAAAAACACAAACTTCTGTTTTGAGTAACCCAAACGTTCAATTCAGTAATTCCATTTTCAATATTCATAATAAATACAAAACAAAATTCAAATATGTGTTTAGTGTGTTTTTTATTTCTGAATAATTAATGACACTTTTAGGCACTAGTGCTTAAAAATTACTTTTACGCACTCATAAGTCACTTTTACGCATTCAAAAGTCACTTTTACGCACTGAGTGCCTGAAAGTAACTTTCACGCACTCAGTGCCTAAAAGAATGTCGTTTCAAAACTGAAATGACAATCGAAAAGTTGCTATTATGAAACGTCAGTAGAAAAATATTTTTGACATGAGAATGTTTGATCACCTTTCGATTCTCGTATCTTGTAATAAAGACCCAGGCTGTGGCATAGCTATTACCAGTAGCATCCAAAGAGCTAATAACTTAAGCGGCTTCCCCTTGTAGAGTAGATTCCAAGCTTTAAGCACAGCCTTTAAGACTATAACAATATAGAAAATATATATTTTTGTATTCGAATCCTCTCTTCTTCCTTTCAAAATTCTAGAATAAAGCCCAACATCTAGATCGTACACGAAATTGAGTTGAGCGTGAGACCACAGGACTGAGATGTTATCTTATTTGATAGAACACCCTATATTATTTAGCTAAAAAAAGCAGCGGGTAGAGCTACCTATAGATTTTTTTATAGAATCAGTCAAATTTTGGCCAATATATAAATCTGAGATTAAAGTGCATCAGTCAAAGGACGAATAAATCCAGGTAATAATGGAATATAAAACAAAGACTGATGGCGAAAAAGGGTAAGTGAAAACATTAGACCTTATTTGCAGATGCGCAACAAACTTTATATCGATATCAGGAATCCTCTGATCCTGGTGTTGTAGTTCCAGAGACACTAAGAAAAAGAACAGGGTATTTCGGTATACAGAGATGCAAAAGTGTGGCCAGAAGTATAGTTTTTTTGGGCAGGTATTGATATTCTGACATAGAAGATATGGTAAACAGCTGCCACCCTTGTAAATCACATTGCAGTAAACCACCGCAAGTGACGGAAACGTGGCCAAAAACCAAAGAAATGTTTGAGCGTAACCATATCGACTTTCTAGAAATTCGCTATTCCATGTGATTAATTTTAGTTGACGCACACACAAAATGGGTCGGATTCTTTCTCATGAAGTCAACAACCACCATAGAAACTGAAGAAAAACACCCATCAGGTATTTGCAACGTCCAGATTGCCGCAGTTAGTATAGTCAGCAACAACGGCAGCTTGTGGAGAAAAATCTGGAAAATGTCTTCCTAAGAAACGGTATTAAGCACAGTGGCATTACAATACCGCCGTATATATCATCCACCAACCAATGAAGCGGCGGGAAGACACTATAAGAACCTTCAAGCATAAAATTGAAACAGCTTTAGAATATCCAAGGACGAATGGAATCAGGCAGCACACCTTAATTTCTATAGGTACCTTCTTACCTGCAGAAACACAAAATCTGAAGCAACCCAGAAATCACCTGCAGAAATGGTTTTCAGCAGAGCGTTGACGACAAGGCTTACCCGAATGAAAGAAACTCCACCGAAATAACCCAGACAAATCCAGAGGGAATTCCAGAAAGGCGACTCAGTGATGATCAGGAAATACCAGAACAACAATCAAAATGAGAATCGAGAAAAATACATACTTGTGCGAACCATCAACAGGTCAGACGTGGAAACGTCATACAAACCAAATGTATAAAAACAAGGGCGATCCAGATGATTTGCAGAGCTCTGGTTCGGGCGGAAGTTCACGTTATTTGTCTTATAGAAAATGTATAAACCACACACGCACTCATAGCGTGAGATTTCTCAAATGTATAAATTTATTCGATTAAAAAAAGGTTATTATGTATTTGATAATTTATAAGTCTACGGCAAATAATCTAAAATTGGTTCGATTTCCAAATAACGTTCCAGCTTCAAATCTTTGATATGCTGCTGCAAATACCCAAAGAACTTCTTGGCGTTTATTCCCTTTACGAGGCAATACCTGAAATATCATTTTTTCAATAAAATATTTAAAACAAATCAATATTCTCTCGTACTTTCAATCCACTCGGAAACTGCATTCTTTCATAATCATCATTGATAATTTCCCAATTTTCTTTTCTATATGGTGTATTTGGGTCCCATTTCACTAACAAAACATCAATCAGAAGCGAAAAGTAAACATATCCATCCCGGTCTATGCCTTCTGTTATTGATTGTTGATCTCTTCTATCTTTGTACGTCTATATGAATAAGTTTTAAATATACTCCTGGACAAAATTATCGCACCATTGCTTATGGTGATGCCTATGTGCAGTGGTGCGATAATTTTGTCCAGGAGTATATTACCAATAGAAAATTATCAAATGCTTACATGAAAAAGTTCAGTTGCTTCATAAGGAATTTCAAAATTGTCCCGATTTTTAAGATCTTTAACATAAACCCAAGATTCTTTGTTATTAGACATTGCATGGTAGTAAAGTTTTCTATATTCTAGGCCGTCTGATGCAGGTGAAAGTGCAACAGTTATTATTCCATCAGCATAGCTAAAAGAATCGCCTGGAAATAGTCATAATAATGAATGAATAATTTTAAAAGCAACATTTTACCATCTATAGTGTAATTGTAATATTCTGGATCCGGCTCGAAACTTTTATCTTGTATGCTCCAAGATGTGTCTTGTTTGAGACTGTATACTAACAATTTAGAATCATTAGGGTCTGCTAGATACAACCAAGTATTTTCGCATTGGTTGTCGTAGGACTCAACTTCCGCCATTGGAGAAATGAACCAGGAAACATTGTTGTGCTGGTCGTAAGGAATTTCATACTTATGGAGAAGTTTATCCTATGGGTACCCGAGAAGATTGAAAGGATATCTGTTAGACCAATTGAATTCTTACCGTTTTCAAATCAAACACCAATATTTGTGGTGGACATATGAAATCGCCCCCTATAACTCCAATGTCTGATATCCAAAGTCTATCACATTCGTCCCACTAGAAAATAGTGAAGAAAAAAGCCTAAAGAATTTTAAGTGAGCTATATAAAAGTTTTGAAATGTGTTTCTCGTAATCATCTTAGTATACATTACAGAGCTAGAATAACTTACTAACCCATACTCTAAACAATGAGACTATTCTGTGATATTTGCATTTTTCTGGTTCTAAGTGCCAAGACCAAGAAGGATATGGTTCAATAACCGGATTTCCATCTCTGGTTTCATTTATAATCACACCAATGGCAGCCGGTGTGCCTGTTTTTCTCAATCTTGGTGTGACCACGAAAATTCTTTCCTCGTCCGTGTATTCATTGAATGTGTATTGGGCATCAATAGGCTCAATTTTCCCAATATCGAAAGTGCCATTTTGTATTGCTTCTGAACGCTGTTCTTCACTATGGAATTTGTATTCTATTTGCTTCCATTGGTAGATGAGTTTAAAGTCGTACTCATCTTTGCCCCAACCCCACGAAAAGGGAATAACGGTTAAAATGAATATCATAGCAGATACTGAAATGAAAGAATTTTACTTATATTAGATATAATGATTAAGGTTTTACTACTTTTCATAGCGTTTGCTTCTGTCAGGCTTCACCTCTAACTGTAAAGAAAAATTACTTAATTAGCATAATTCCTCAAAATTTATATGTATATATAGGGTATCTACTGACTAGTGAAGCACTAAAAAGCCAAACCATAAATTACGGATTCTTTAAAAAAACTTCAAATTACCATCAAGTGAATTCTACTTAATTTTGTGATAAATGGTAACTTATCATAATATATAGTTTCACACATTTTAGTGGGTACTTACTTCACTATCGGTTTCAATAAGTGCTTTTAGCTTTGAAAGTTTGGATTTTTTATGAATTACATATTTCAAAGGTAGAACAATAAACATATTGTATACTTAGATTCGGAAATTTCCATCAAACTCTCAAAGTTCTCAGAAACTAATCAGTTTCACATATATTCAGATTCCTTTTTGTGAATGCGTGCCTAAATATTATACTGTTACATTACAAGACTTCAAAAATAAATTATGCTACGGGTTTTATAAAGCTAATATCAGAAGAGTGTTTTACATGACTCAAAGTTTCTTTAGCAAGTGGCTTTGGAAGTTGAAAGGAACTTTGAGATTTCAAAATTTCTGTACTAAGCTACATTTGAAGATTAATTCCTAAACCTTATGAAAAATCATATCTCCAATTATTGTATCATGGATAGAAATCTTGTTATAGTGAAGAGAGACTTCAAACCCTGAACATTTCAGCTTATTTCGACTTTATATTTTGCAGAAATGAGAGCCAAGAGATGAAATTTTATAATTTTTCTGTGGTTCTTTTATCAAAAATGTCGGCTTTCAGCGCCCACAATAATTAAAGAGTTAAGGGGGTCTCAAATGACGGAAAGATCATTGGGCGGTCCTTAAATGATCATACAGCTGATTCCGTTTCTTAATGATCGTATCTTGAAGGCCAGCTCGCAAATATGGAAGATCACCATTAGGAAAAGAAGAACTCATATTATATATTTCTGCAAAATTAAATGAGCAGCTTATGTTCTTTTCAAGTTTACTAAAAGTTTAAAGGCAAAAGAATTCAAATACGTTTGTCACCAAACCGCGGTAAAAAATTTAGCACTAAAAAAGATGGCGATTAACGCTACTAGTAATTAACGTCATAAATGTTTAAAGGAATGCTATCAATTATTGTTTTCAAATAATAAATTATCACTATTTTGTGCTGTAAATTATATTTTTCGAACAGGTGTTTGATAATGTAGTATTTGAAAAAAAGCATATGACAAAACGCACTAAATGAATTTGTATTTTACCTCACGTATTGAGTTTTGAGTTTCTCACAATTCTACAGAAACGTATTGCCTAAATAGGTACATGCTTCTGAAGAAAGTATACCTAATATTGACTATTTTTTCCATGTTTCCATGTTGAATCTCCGAAGCGCAATTCTGATGTGTGACTTAGATGCTGGTAATTCTGTTGGTAGATTGAAGGAATGGACTGAAGAAGATCTAAGGCAGGTCCTCGTAGCGCCACTATCAGTGCTGTTGCTTTTTCTTGATCGTTCCATCCGTTGGTATTTGCAGCAGCGTCCAGGACGTAGAGCAGTCAAAAGTTGGTAATTTTATCTTTATACTAGAGAATGTCTCAAGACTAACTGGATTGATGGACTGTATTCCTAATTTATTCACCTTATCTTCAAGTGCTTGAACTTGGTTCTCAACTTCTTGTCTTAATTACTGAATCTCGTCTATGACTTCAGCTTTTACTTCCTAAACGTCGTTTTCAACTTCTCGAACATCGTCTTTAACTTCTCGAACATCGTCATTAACTTCGGCTTTTACTTCCGTAATCTTTTGTTCTAGGTTAGCGACAAATCCGTGTATGGTTTGAAATATTTTCTGTAGTTGTCCAAGGTCGTCTTGCATGCCGTTCTTTTTGTCGCCTATGGCCTCTCGATCTTGTATTTCTTGTTGTCTTTTGGTCCCTTGAAGTTCCAATATTAATAATAATAATATAATAATATTTTGCACAGAAGTTCTTCAACTTTTTGTTCTTCCATCCATTTTTGCTTGTTGTTTTGTAATAGGCATATACAGAATGTTCTAGAATTTCCCTCAAACTTTCTTCAAATATCTTTCCTGGTCTTTGCTTGAAGCTCCAAACACGCCGGTGAAGTCACAAATTGGATAACTTGCTTTATTATCGAATAGAATAATCTAGAATTTTCTTGAAATCTCTTTTCTGGATGCCGACTGATATAGCAAACATGTCAGTGAAGGCACAAATTTGTCTCCCTTGGTTTCTGTTTGATATTAAACTGCACCATTTCCAAATCCAAACCGCAGTAAATGACATTAAATAACCTAAATTGTAAACAAACACCAGCCTTCCTATTGGTTGAAACGCTTTACCTGGCCTAGTGCGCATGCAGGGAGGACATTTGATAGGTTGTAATGAAAATGACCAGTTATGTCATTTACTGCCGTTTGGATTTGTTTCAACAATGGTTTCAACCTGAGGTTTCAACCATAGTTAGGTAAGACGTCACCGTAGCAGGTGTTGTCAATACAATGGCTTTATGATGACTTTTAAGTTTAACTTGTAGTCATATTCATGTCATATTAAAATAGTTATTTACATTACAAGTGCGTTTATGAACATGATTACAATAAGAGTGTGAAAGATTAGAACGACGAGGTCGTAGACCGAGTCGTTCTTATCACACGAGTTTTGTAGTTATGTTTAAACGCACGAGTGATGTACAACACGAAAAATAAGAATGCTTTTTAAATAATTTTCGTATATTAGTAGTTGTCTACCTTCATTTTACCTTCGCAGGTTTAACTTTGACATTTGTCAAATCACCAAAAATAGTTGCGTTATAGATTCATAACCTAGTCCATAACACCACTAGTTGTGTTATGAATTCATAACCTAGTCCATAACATCACTAGTTGTGTTATGAGTCTCATGACATAACTCAAATACTAGAAAAATGGTAATGTAAAAACGTCATAACCAAACGCTTGTAGATAATAATTATTTATCTACAAGCGTTTGGTTAAGACGTTTTTACATAACCATTTTTCTAGTATTTGAGTTACGTCATGAGACTCATAACACCACTAGTGGTGTTTATAGACTAGGTTATGAATTCATAACACAACTAGTGGTGTTATGGACGAGGTTATGAGTCTATAACACAATTATTTTTGGTGATTTGACAAATGTCAAAGGTAAACCTTTAAAGGAAAAATGAAGGTAGACAACTATTAGTGAACGAAAATAATTGGAAAAATATTCTTATTTTTCGCTTTGTAGATAAAACGTTATACATATCACACGTCAGTGGCGGTTCCTCCATAAGAGCACATGTGCACGTGCACTCCCAAATTAATATCAAACAACTTTAAATTTAATTTTATCATTCTTCAAATTTTAACATTCTACCTGTAAAGTATTAATTTAAAAAATTAGTGGCCAAATGCGCCAGCAAAACAAACGCAACCGGCAACGCTGGAATCACAGCGTCCACCGCGTCGCCTGAACGCCCCGTTCACTGCACATTTCAATATTAAATCCAATTGGTGGAACTATGCCCCCCCGCACTCTTTGTTCCCCGCGAAGGTCTAGCGACGTTCGATGTTTTAAGCTGGCTGTGTAGTCAGTGCACTTTGGGATCGGAAGCGCTTGTTTTATATTTATTTCGATTTCGAGCGCGATTTAACTGAAAACTGTGTGTAGAATGGCGGGATTTCTGAACCCCGATAGCCTTAGCGTGCAATATTTAAAAACAATTAAATTTTCTTCGCTTTCTTTGGAGGAAAAAATCCAAATCAAATGTGTCGGCCGTCCAAAGCCAAATTTAATAATCACCAACATAACAAAATGAAAAGTCGTGATTATAAACGAACTTTTAAAATGGAAACTTACGAAAAAACTGACTGGTTGTGCGGTTGTGATATTAGTAATAGTCTTTACTGTTTTCCCTGTTTGTTATTTGGAAGCGATGAAGCATCAGAATGGACAAAATCCGGCGTTAAAGATTTAGTACATTTATCCGAAAAAATTAAAAAACATCAAAACTCAAAATCACATCTTACTCTTATCTTTCAATACAAAACGTGTCTGTGAGATTGAAAACTATAATACATTTATGTATAAAAACAATTGTTAGACCAGGACGATGTACTCAGTGAGGTAAGTTACTTTGTTACTTAATTTCTAGTTTATTGATATAAGATCCTTCAATTTCCACGATTTGATAGACCGAAAAAAGTATTAAATTGAGCTTAGTTGGTTGTTTGGTAGGGTAGATATGAAATCCCTTAACAATATTTTTAATTATTGGTAGGTAAACACATCACATAACTCATATGATCACTTACAATAAATTATTTTTTTAAAGGCCTAAAATAAACACTTCTGGGCGTGGCGTGGCACCCCGAAAAATTTCGCGCCAATATATGCAGGGCAGTTGCGTGCGGTAAAGCCGTTAAGGGCGGTAAAGCCGTTAAGGGCGGTAAAGCCGTTAAGGGCGGTAAAGGCACTTTCCGCATGTGTTAGGTACAAAATTTTACCTATGAGCATCTACACCTCCAAAAAAAGTTAACTTTACCGCACACTATGCTCAATGCTGTACAGTTAACTTTACCGCATAGTGTGCGGTAAAGTGATACTTTCCATTTTCAAAAACGTGCGGTAAAGTGCACTTTACCGCACGCTCGTAGGTAAATAATTTATCGAACCCAAGAGTGTTTCATTGCAAAGACACAACATAATGGCGACGATATGTGGAGTTTATTGTCGTACCTACTTAATGTAATTTTGTGTGTCACTGAAAAAGTCTGAAAAGTCCTATAGTTTGTTGTTCGAAGGTTGTTGCCGTCTCAACTGCATAGGTAAACACGAAAGTCTAGTGGAAAAAAAGCTGTTAAAAATGGCTTTGATTGGTGGTATTGAGCCATTTAGGCCTGGAGACTGTGATGTTACTTCATATAGATCAGTTATTCGAATGTAACTGCATAGAAGAAGGAAACAAAGTATGCATGTTTTTAACCCTTGTTGGAGGAAACACTTATGAAGTGTTGAAAGATTTGCTGGAATATCCTCAGAGCTGTGCAGTAGCTAGCTACCAAGTAGTTAAGCTACTAACTTAGCT